CCTAGAGAATCATCTCAAAGTCAAAGGTATGTCCAGAAGCAGGTCAGGTTTCAGCATCCTTGCAGTGCTGGTGCTGAGGACCCTAGCTCTTTACTGCTCCCTGTAGATGCCCTTAAGCAATGTGTGCAGAGAGACATGACCATCTCCTGTATGAGGGTGATCATTCCTGAGGATCTGTAGATTCCTTGATCCCCACGAGTTCCAGTGGATCCACAGATACAGCTGGGTGAAGAAGAATCAATTGAGAATTGAGATCAGAGAACTTAGGTTCTGGTTCCAGCTCTGCCATTTAATAAGCTGCGACTTGCATGAAGACCAATATCCTCTACTGTAAGGAGTGAAATGGCAACCATCACTGTGGATATAACTCTATCAAATAGCATGGAATTTAGTAGGCTTGAAACAAGTTTTGGTTAAATCTTAATTTCCATTATATTAGGGTTCCATGTCTACGTTTCCAATACAAAGATATTGTGAGAAATATCAGATAATTAAAATGAAAGAAATATCAAATAATTAAAATGAACACATATTGCAACAATGGAAAATAGTAACGTGAAGGCAGTTAAATTCAAGGAATTAAGCTGTAAGTTTCATGAATTTGATCAGTGCAATTACTGTTACCTAACTTTGTTTAAAAAGACAGAGAACTATAATTTTTACTCTTCTTTATCTCTTTTTCATAAATTATCTTTTCTTCCTCTCTTTTCCCATGTAACCCAACTTCACAACCTTTTTATTTCAAAAAATGCAAAGTTTATTAGACATTTAATAACGTACACATTATTCCAATGCTTTTTATTTCTTTGCTGCATAGGCGATTGTCAACATTGTTTTCAAATTATTGTAGGAACTGGATTTTTTTTTTTTTTTTTGCAAGATAATAGGAGACTCAGATATTGGCTATAGTGGATTCCACTTCTGCTTAATCCAGGTCAGGATTTATGGAGACCTCATGTGGTGACAAGAGGCACCACAGAAGGCTTTCTTCAGGCTGGGTTTAACAGTCAAAGAGAAACTCAGAAATTCATTTGGGAGCAAAATAATCCACAAAGAATTAAGACCTAGAAGTTAATGTTACTGAAGCCTGCAAGGCCCTCAACAAACATCCTGCAGTAATACTAATGGAATAATACAGTAATATTTTAAAGAACAGGAGACCTGGTTATTTATGTATAAAATTCCCCTTATCAACTAAAAAGTTAATGACAGAAAAAATAATAAGATATGCCTCTCAAGAATTACAGTCTTTCTTTTTTCTGAATGAAATCCACTGAATAGCTTCTTATTTAAATTGGCATCAAATTAAAAAAAAAGAAGTTTCTGTAGGCATGTTGCTATGTATGTTAGTTTCTCCCTGGTTTTACACAAAACAGAAAGTGATCAGAGATAGAATCAAACTTGAACTTATGTCTGTGAATTTCACTTATGCGACAATATCAATAATATTATATATAAATATTTGGAATGCAGGATATGTTCTTGCAATTAAAATATAGAACAACAATTCTATGTGGTGCACAAAGTTGAACACAAACACCTCTTGTTGCTGACAAGATATTAAAGTTGTGAAATTAAATAAATTAGTGTATCAGTAACCATATTTAACCACAAAATTTATTGGTACACACTAAGGAAAATTCACTGAGGGTTGGGGGAGCTCCTTCCTCAATGACAGGTACTTGCTCTTTATCTCATTTTCCTTAGAAGAAAATGTGACAAGGGCTTCTTTTTTCTTCTCCTCAAGGAAGTTACATAACAGACCTTTCAGCTAAAATCTAGAAGGACAAATGAGTTAATAAATGTCAAATGTTTTTGAAGGTTTTAAAAGAATAGAGCAATATAAATCTGTGGCATTAAAATGAGTAATCCTAAGGGTTCCAATTCAGTTATCAGATGGTACCCTGCCTTTGGGCATGTCCTCGAAAAGGCTTAAGTTTTCCAAGGCAGGCAAAATGAGGTAAGTAGAGGTAGCCATTATGAAAAGACATCTTAGAAAATGTTAACTAGGAAAAACGTTAATGAAGATATTGCAGAGATTTTAGGTTGAGCATATTCTTGAGTTAAATAAATCTGTTACTTATGAGGAAACCTACTATGTGACAGACATGGATGCTGGAAATACAAAGAGTCGGACAGGTCTTGCTTTCAAGGAAGCTTCTAATAATTATACAAATAGCTACTACAATCTGAGGCTGGTATTAGGCGGGGACTTGCACAGATTCCAGGGAAAGCTTCTTAAAGTAGAAATGGGAGGAAGAACAACAAGATGATGCGTATTAAATCCAAGAGAAGGAGTAGTCATTTAGATGTCATTTCAAACTTACAGTGACATTGGCTCTTGCTAGGGGGAAAGGGGGGGGAGAGAGGCAGCTGTTGCCAGACGTACGTCACATTGAAGAGACAAGATGAAACAAGGAAATGATCTTTCAAAACACAGTGGGGAAAAAAAAAAATCCAGAACTGCCCTGAAATAAAGAAAACCTTCTGGTATAATGTGCGTTGCTAGGGATTTATTTTTTCCCCTCCTTTCTCTCATAAGAGAGTAAAAATCACACAGATACAGTCAAGCCCTTAAGAGTTTTGTGAGCGTATTGCATATCCAAGACATCAACTGACCATGGTGTGGTTAAGTGTGTGTCCACAAAGGAAGGGTTAAACGGAAGGGGGTGGCTTGGAGATAGAAAGGCAAGCAAGAAGGTTTAAAAATGCTGTTTTCCAACTTGCAAAAACTGAACTTTTCAGCTCCCCAAAATACACGTGTGTGTCTGTAAGCGCAGGCAGATCTATTTCGGTAGGATTTTTCTTAAATTTAAATCATAATTTCTCTGTTTCTGTCTCTCTGTCTCTTGCTGTGCTGCAAACAGTGAGCAGCCCCCTTAAGGATCGCACGGCAAAAGCTGCAGGAGAGGCACTGGCAGGGCTGTTTATTTATGAGCCGCGTTCAAAGCCGCCCTCTCCCGATTCTGCCGCTGCAAACGGCTACCTCCGAGCCCGGGTCACCTCTGGGGCCAAGGAGTTGGGGACTGGGGCTCGGGTGGCTCCTTCTTCGGGCAAAGTTTGCCCGGACGTGGGAGTGAGGGGGCGAGCCAGGGCGCACGGGAACGCGCGCCG